GGGAGGAGCCTGCAACCGAGGTACATGCCCTTGACCAGAATCAAACCTGGTCCGCAGGCCAATGCTCTATCCCCTGAGCCAAACCAGCTAGGGGCACACATTGGATTTTTAAAAATCATGTTTTAAAATAATTAAACTTGTTTATATAGGTAATGCATTCACAAAGGATGTAGTGGAGAGAAGCCACAGGCTGACCGGGTTTGAAGCCCTGTTGATAAAGTGTGCATAGGCTGGTTGCAAGCCTCTTTTAGGCTGTTTCCTTATCCATGCCGTGTAAGGGAAGATGCTCTCTGCTCCCCGTCCCCAAAGAGATCATCGCAACTGCTTCTTGAATGTCCTTCCAGAGATGGTTTATGCATATGGGAACAAATACTTGTTCCTACTGCCATGACCCCATGCAAACTTTAGAATAAATGATACTATACATGGCGTTCTGCATCTCGCTTTTTTAAAACCTATCTATTAGTTCACAGAGCTCCAACTCCTTTTCAATGGCTATGTTTTACTCCATTTCATAGGCACAAAACTACATCAAACCAGCTCATGACTGACGGATACTTAGGCTGTTGCCAATGTTTGTATTTAACAAGCAGGGCTGCAGTGACTGCACTTCCTTCTGCTACGGGTGGGGCTTCCTCCCTTTCCCCTTGCACTTTCCCACAGGGGCGCCTATGTATACAGGACGTGTCCTGTATTTTGTCCTGCATTCTGTACTGACTAATAGTTCGTATTCAGCTGCCCACCCCCCAAAAAATTACAAAATGCATATGAGCAATTTCCTCCACAGTAATTGGTACTTAGTCACTTACCTAGCAACACTAGCTGAAAAGCATTTCTGCACAAATAAAGACCTAGGCCACTTCTTCTCAACCTTCCTAATGCCGCGACCCTTTAATACAGTTCCTCATGTTGTGGTGACCCCTAATTTCATTGTTACAAATTGAACATCATTAAAGCATAGTGATTAATCACAAAAACAATATGTAATTATATATGTGTTTTCTGATGGTCTTAGGCGACCCCTGTGAAAGGGTCGTTCGACCCCCAAAGGGGTCGCGACCCACAGGTTGAGAACTGCTGACCTAGAGGATTCCTTACAGTTTCCTTCTGGTTTGGCGAAGGGAAGTACAAAAGGGCAGACTGGGAATTAAAGGGACTTATTTTCATATTCAAGAAAGGAAAACACTGTTCTTTGAAAAACCAAGTTCTGAACAGCAACCACCCTTAGTTAATAAGAAATAACTTACGATTTTTGTTCTGAAAATCAGCCAATCAGCAATACTCTCACCCTAGTTAATGCTTCTGAAAGTGAGCAAATCCATGGCAGAACCTAGTTTCTGACAGTCAGCCAATCAGTGACAGCCCCCACATCTAGACACAGCCAATCAGCAAGCGCCTCACTCCAGGACTGTGCTTGAAGTCAGCCAGTTAAAGGCAGCCTTGCCCCAGAGATGCACTGACACAGCTGAAAGGCCTTACATCCCTTCTGAAAGTCCACCAGCCCCTGCGCCAGGCCCAGGTTTCCCCAAACCTTGCCTTAAACCAGTTCTGGCTTTGTGGGAGAGACTTTGCCTTAAAAGTACAGTTCTCACTTTCAGACAAACAGGAAGTTCACCTTCTTTGCATCAGATGTCAAGTTCAATTTAATGAATTTGGAGCCCTTTCAACAATTATGAGTTCAGACTTGTGATAGATGCACTGTTGCCATTGTGAGATTATCAAATTCAATCTCTTTGATCCTTACAATGGTTTCTATTATATATTTACTGTATATTTGAACCCCAAATACTAAAAAGCAAGCAAAAATTTCATGCTGAATTTTCTGAGCAGCGAACATTAAATGAGGAAAAATTCCATTTGAAGCTTTCTATAGTATGCAAGTGTTCATTTAACGTAAAAGATGGAAAATCAGATATAAACCAGCATACGATGCATGAGCTAAGCATAAAAGATGCATGAGTTCCTCAAGTAGTCCTAAGAAAAGTGATAACCTAACACTTTTTTTGATGAAGAGAAATTCAGATTAAGAAGATAAAATAATTGTAGCAGAAATGTAATGGACTTCCCCACTCTATATCATCCTCAGTCTTTCAGCTCAAATAACTGTTTGGCTCAGCTGGTGTGTCTCAGTGGTTGAGCGTCGACTTATGAACCAGGAGGTCACAGTTTGGTTCCCAGTCAGGGCACATGTCCAGGATGCAGGCTCAATCCCCAGTGGGGGGCGCACAGGAGGCAGCCAACCAACGATTCTCTCTCATCACTGATGTTTCTATCTCTCTATTCCTCTCCTTTCCTCTCTGAAATCAGTAACAATATATTAAAATAAAATAACTATTTGAATGTCTACTACCAGAAGTGTTTTCTGGCTCCAAAATTGCAAGCACATTTTCAAAAACGTAATAGCTCCATTTATTATTACAAAGATTATCAAAGATCTAAATGTCTCACCTTTTTATGGCATAGCCACAATGCAGGTAATCACAATGCAGAAACAACTCTTCCTTTGTGCAGTATTTTTCTTTGTCTTTTTTTATATTTTTATCGATCTCAGAGAGGAAGGACACAGAGATAGAAACATCAATGATGAGAGAAACAGTGATTGGCTGCTTCCTGCATGCTCCCCACTGGGGACTGAGCTGGCAACCCTGCATGTGACCTCCTGACTCATAGGTCGATGCTCAACCACTGAACCACACCGGCTGGGCTGTGCAATATTTTTCTTATGAAAAACGTTTGCTTATGAGGCTATTGGGAGAATTTTTTTTCCAGATGAAACTTCAGAAACAGTAGCAAATTTTTGCAGAAACTCTGTTATTACTTGTTAATGATAAACACACGCCAAAAACAAAAGGACACAAAACACTTTTGGAGATGATGTATGTCTATCTTGATTGTGGTGACGGTTCACAGATGTATGCATATGCCCAAACTTAATCAAATTACACATTAAATATATGCAGTTTGCATATATAAAAAAGAGTTAATTTGAAATTTTTTACTACTTAGTTGGAGATAATACAACTTTTGATGAATGTCTGCATAAGGGTACAGTGTTCATTCAAAGTTGAAGCAAAGCATGGATAACTATGGAAGGTGTTGCTTGACCTGCCTACATTCTGCATAATGCTGCTCAATAGTATCTGATTGTGGCGAGCCGGCACGGCCATGGCACGCTCAGCCCCAGGGTGCCTTATGTGCCGTGCCAGCTCAGCCAGGTTCGGTGAGCCTGAGAGGGGGTGGTGAAGGATTAAGAAAGGATAGACAAGAGAATAAAAGCTGGGTCTGGCTGGGACGCTGTCCTCTCTGATGGAGAGCCTCTTTGATGGAGAGCCAGCGACAGCGCCACAGACTACAAGCTGTGTCTTTATTCGATAGCCAGATTCCACGAGGCAAAGTAAGGGCGTGGTCAAGATGTTTACAACATTCTCGTGGGTTTCGATCCTATTCAGCTACATACACCTGAACTCTATCAAGCCCATATCACTCAGACACCTGGGGCCACGTGTTCGGACCATAGGTTCAAGCTTACAACCATAGCTGTTGGCTATAATTGTGCTGGGAGGGCTCTGCCCTCCAAGCTGGGACTTGCACGTGGCCATGAGAGGACTGTGCTCTCTCATTAGTCCAAGGCTTGAACCTATCCAAACACTGTAGCCGCTCTCCACATCTGATGTCGTTTCTCTTGAGACTGAAGTAACTGTCATGAAAGTGTTCTCCTACTTCAGCATTTACACTGTTCTAACTGAGCAATGTAAGGATTTTGGTGGTTTTGTTGGTGTTCAGTATTCTTTATTTCCCTCATATTCAAAGGCCATTGACTCTAACAAATGTCATCGGCTCTGGCCAGGTAGCTCAGTTGGTTAGTGCATCATCCCAATACACCAAAGTTGAGGGTTCAATCCCCGATCAGGGCACATACAAGAATCAGCTATGCCCTGATCAGTGTGGTTCAGTTGGTTGGAGCATTGACCCAGACATTGAAAGGTTGCAGGTTTGATTCCAGGTCAGGGCACATATCCAGGTTGTGGGTTTGATCCCCAGTCAGGGCAGGTAAGGGAGGCAACTGATCAATGTTTCTCTCTCATGTTGGTGTTTCTCTCTCTCTCTCTCCCTTTCCCTTCCTCTCTCGCAAAAAATAAAATAAATAAAATAAATAAATAAATTTTAAAAAATCAACCAATAAATACATAAATAAGTGAAACAAATCAATCTTTCTTTCCCTCTCTCAAATCAGTAAAAAATGTCATTAAGAGAATCCTCCGTTTATATGAAATACTGACATTATACTTTAATTCTAAAGAAAAGGATCCCAAAATTCTGGTTGACTTTTGAAATACTACATTGGATAAAGTCTACTTATTTCTTATTCATCTTTCAATATCAATTTAGCAATAAGACGACACAAAATGAGAGAAAAGCAAACAGTGTCACTGAAGTACTCCATTGCTTAAAGAACTTGTTAAATATGTTAAAGAATTAATGAAAAGTTTATCCCTTTTATTAGCAAGCTGTTCTTAAGAGGGACAGTCTATATAAACAGGAAAATAAATCACAGGTCAAAGTGGATAATTACTGTACCACTTGCTATGACTCTTTTGAAATGAATTTCATCCATTGAAATTTTTTATTATTTTACCTGGATGTTACTCAGTACTCTTTCAGCACGGGGACAGGTGGAATCATCATGTGTAGCACTGAAGACTCAGGGAAAGCCTTGGCAGGAGATTCCAGAAGCAGGGGGAGGGCAGCACAATGTGGGGGCGTGGGGGTGAGGAGTGGAGTGTCTCTGGTGGGTCAGAGGTAGGGGTTGAATCCCCAGCCTATCATCCACTCCCCATGTGGAATTTTTCTGAATATAATGTTACAGAAAACCGGAGAAGAACCAAGCAACGCTTAGAGAGATGGAGTTACATTTATTATTATTATGCGCGGGCTCAGAGGAAAATGTCTCTCAAATTCTGGGCGAAATCACACAGGAAGTTTCCTGTATTTATACTATTTTACCTTCTTTGTCTCCTAAATATGGGGTTTTTCCAGTTCCCTTTGCAAGTTCTTAAAGGGCCCTATGTGCTGGGACTTTGAGACCTCAACCAAAGGCTTGGCCTGAAGCCAGCACCGATAACTTCATCTGGAGAAGGTTTAATGGCCTCTCTGAAATGGGAGTAGTCTTATTTTCCTTATTATTTAAGCCAGCAAGTATTTACAGAAGCCAGAAATAGCAGGGTTAAAATTTCAAACAGCAGTTTTTATAAAAGATGCTTGCTTTAGTATTAGAGACCTATTGCTGCTAACCAAATATTATATAAGTTATCAGCTTAAAAAAAATACAGATTTTTTAAATCTCATAACTTCTGTGGGTCAGGAATTCAGGAGCAACCAAGCTGAGTGATTTGGGTTCGGTGTGTCTCAGGAGATTTTCCTCAGGACACTGACCAGGCCTGCAGTCATCTCACGGCCGTGACCGGGGCTGCTACCCACTGCCGGGGTGGCTGACTCCCGTGGCTGTAGGGAGATCTCATTTTCTTGCCACATGTGCTTTTTCCACTTTTCTCAGGAAGAAAAGTATTTTCTCAGAAGCCGTCCTTTTAATTCCTTGTCAGAACTAAGTTACCTGGCCTCCCGAGGTGAGAGGCAGGGAGCGTATGCGGCTGTCCAGCGTCTACCCTGGAAGCAAGGGAGAAGGAAGGCTGTACCTGGCTGTTGGGTTAGTGTCTTCCATGACTACCCTGCCCTGAACCAATCATGGCCAGCGGCATGGAAGCCTCTAATCCAGCGGTTCTCAACCTTCTGGCCCTTTAAATACAGTTCCTCATGCTGTGACCCAACCATAAAATTATTTTCGTTGCTACTTCATAACTGTAATGTTGCTACTGTTATGAATCGTGATGTAAATATCTGATATGCAGGATGGTCTTAGGGGACCCCTGTGAAAGGGTCGTTCGACCGCCAAAGGGGTCGCGACCCACAGGTTGAGAACCGCTGCTCTAATTGGTAGGGCCAGGTTTATCAAACTCACATGAACCAAGCAGGATTTGGGGGGGAAGGAGCAGGATGTTTGAGCAAAGCAAGAGCGTATTAGAGAGCACAAAAACATCCATCCACACAGCGGTGCAGGGAGTTCTGAGACAGGCTAATACGCCAGGACGAGGGGAACAGGGACACTGAGGGAGAGTTAAACAGCCAAGCAGTTAACAGCCGTCTAGCAAATCGAAAAATCCTATCTTCTGTGACCAAGGACACTTATGAAAAGATCTGTAGTTGACTGGATTTTTTTCTGGCTCCTTTTTCCTGCCTAATAATCAGTTATTTCTTTTATAGTTTTCACCTGGCACACACATGACAGCAGAGTGGAAACAAATCACAAATAAGAGTGTACCAAAATAATCGAAATTGTTTTCATTTTGTAAAAACAAACAAACAAAATGAGTAAATGGTTTACAGTTCTCCTTAACCAGAGAATAAATAGCTTAAATCGTGCTTTTCAGGGAGATATATAGCAGAAATCCAATTAGTGCCATTTGCCAGCCACATCCAAGGACAGAAGAAGTTAAGGGAATAAATCTCATTTTGGCACCTCAGCATAAAACTGATGAATATTCTATTGAGATCCTCCCCTAAACTTTCAGCCTTTAAACCCCCTGAGAAAACAAAGATCCCAGCATGGGCTCTTCCTCCCAGGAGCATGCCTGTGCCTTTCCCCCTCTTCTTCCCCACAGGCACGCACCCTCTAAACTCTGAGGGACCCCACAAGGCTTGCAATCAGGGAGCAGTGGGCAGCGGCAGCTCGTCCAGGGCTAACCCCCTGAACCTGTCCTCAAGGACCCTTTTCTCCGACTTCTTAGTGAACCAAAGCAGCCCAGCCTAGTCCCTCTCCTGTTGTTTCTTCTATCCTAGGCCCTTCCTGTTTCACTGTCCCCAGCTTCAATAAATATCCTCTAAAAATGACCTGGACTTGTAATGTGAAATCTTTCCTGCACGAAGTCAAGAAGGTACACACTACCAGCTGGCCTCGGCAGACCCACTCAGGGCCAGGTCCTCTTTCCAGTAACAGTTCCACTGTGTGGATGAACTCATGATTCTTCAAATTAGTCAGTCAATTTTAGTTCTGAAAAAAGGGGACGGGAGTCCCGATGGGTGTGGGTAATAGTTTAAATCCAGGCATGGAGTGGGAGGAGTGTGAAAGGGGCAGGAAGTCAGGGTGGAGAGCATTTCAGGGTTAGAGAATGGGCTGTAAGGAGAGTAAGAGGAAATAAGATTTAATCACGGCTAGCCATGAATGCCAAGCTATGCTGACATTTCATTTAATACACACAACAGCCACATGAGGTCAGTTTTCCTTAAGTCCCTCTAAACTCCCATGTTCCATCCAGGTAAGAAAATAAGAGCTGGGGAAGGGGCGTCTTTTGCTGGAGTCACTCACCCGAGAAGTGGAGATGGGCTAGACCAGAATTCAAACCCAGGTCTCTCTGTTTCGTCCCCAGGCTGACCTCACAGATTCCAGATTTCCCTACAGACAGGAACATGCCCTATTAAAGTCACATGAAGTCACTCCTCCTGGAAAGATCTGGAAGCAGCTGCTGCATTCCAGCCCATGTTATCTGATGTGTTTGAAGACTAGAGCTGGAACCTCACTGTGAGACATCTGCAATCCTCATGCTGAGATGAGATTTCGGACTGAATTAAAAACAAGCTATACCAAGGCCCTGGCCAGGTGGCTCGGCTGGTTAGAGCATCAGCCCTAGATGCCAAGGTTCGATCCCTGGTAAGGGCACAGACAAGAATGTATGTCAGGGCATGTACAGGAATCAACCAATGAATGCGTAAATAAGTGAAACAACAGATTGATGTTTCCCTCCCTCCCACCCTTCCTCTCTCTCTCTCTCTCTCTCTCTCAACACACACACACACACACACACACACACACACACACACACACACACACACACACAAAACTATACGAACTCTGACGCCAAAGAACAAGTCCCTTCAACTGTAAAAGGCCCCACAGCCCTGTCTCTGCAGGGTCTCCCCAGGTTAAACCACCTCAGTGAAGCTGTTCTGCAGCAGCTGGGCCCAGGGGAGGGGTCAGCCCAGGGCTGTCCACACAGAGCAGCCGCCTAGCTGAGTGTGGAGGCCCGGGTATATTCCCATGTCTGTAAAACAGCATGTAAGTATACTCAAGGAAAAACAGTTTAGACTGGTGGGGAGACCAGGGACCCCCCTTTTTCTCTACTATGCCTTGGGCTTAAAAAAAAAAAGCAGAAAAGAACCAATTACATTTAAAACAACATCATTAGGGGGTCCCCCCATGTATACACATACATTTTTTGATAGCTCAATGATGTTTCTTTTTGTATTTAACCCATTGGAATGAATAATTATTCAACGTGTGTATACATTTCGGGCGGACACCCTGTAGTTGTAATATCTAGGTAAGTGACATAAAAAAAACAAAACAAAACAAAACAAAACAACACAAAGAAACTGAAGGCAAAGCCGGGCCCAACCCAGGAAACCCTAAGGAATGACTGCTCTTCCTCCCCCACCCTCACCGCCCAGCCGCAGCCCGGGGCGTGAACAGCATTCCTGGGAGCCGGCACCTGAGCCTCCAAGTCCCCCCTCGCGCACAGAGCCCGTCTCCGAGCCCCTTCCCGCGCACAGGCCTGCACGAGAAGAGGGGGTGCGTGACCCCCAAAGGCCAGGAGTCAGCCCTTGAGGTGCGGCCGCACTGAGCCCGCCCTGCGGAGCCGGCTCGGGGGGCTGCGGCGGCACCGCGTGACCGCGGCCACGTGACCGCGCGGGGCGGGCCGCCAGCGCCGCAGCTGCTCGTGCGGCGGGAGGTGCCGGCGTAAGTGGGGAGCGGGGCGGCGAGGACCTCCTCGCGGGCGGGGGCGGGCGGGCTTCCGGGCGCGGCCCTGTCCTCCGACACCCCGAGCCGGGACCCCAGCGACCGGCTCGGACGCCCTCCTCGGCGCGGCTGGCGGGCAGTGGGTCGCCTTCGGGGTGGGGGGAACCCTCCTGTACCCCACCAGGGCCGAGGCGGTCACTTCCGCCTCGGGCCTCCCACTCTGGGCGCAGTGCGGGGGAGCGAGTGCCCTCCTGGAACGGTTACCTCTCCCGTGTGCGCTTGGGCGGAAACTGAAGAGCCACAGGCAAGGCCGGCGGGTGGGAGAGAACCGGTCTCCCCAGCAAAGCGCACGGCCCCACCTGCCTGGTGACCCACGAGGAACCGCTGGCCCCTGCAGTTACTGGGGAGCCTGTGGGCAGAGAAGACCCAGCGGGTGGGGGTGGGGGGTGGGGCATGGGTCGAGGGTCGAGCTACAAGGTCCGAGCCAACATACTGAGTACTGTGGTTACACGTATTCCCTTCGTTAGTATTCGCCATCGTGAAGTTGGTCAGGTAGGTACTTATGTTCCCATTTTCACGTAAGAGAAAACAGGCTCAGAGACTCTGGGTCCTTAGACCGAGGTCCTGGTAAAGGAAGTAATTGAGACTAGAACCCAGGTCTGTGCCACAGCGGCGCCTCCTGGTGGGTGATGGCGGCACTGGGCCCAGCTGTCAGTTCCTGTGAACTGAGAGTTAGTGCTTCCTCTTCCCGGCTCAGCCGCCTGGGGACCAGGTGTTGCTGCGTGAGAGGGGCTGCTCCTCTAAGCCAAACACCCGCATCCCTTTCTCCCCGCCCCTTGTTAGCGAGTCCTTTTCTCACCTGCCCCCTGCAGAACACGATGAAGCTCATCATCCTGGACCACTATTCTCAGGCCAGTGAGTGGGCCGCCAAGTACATCAGGAACCGCATCATCCAGTTTCACCCCGGACCAGACAAGTACTTCACCTTGGGGCTCCCCACCGGTGCGTTGTGCGATGGAGAGGGGGCCGTGCGTTGCGGAGTGCGGGGAGAGTAGGGGATCTTAGGGAGCCAGGGGACTTGGAGGAGGACTCTGCGGTACCGGTGCTATGAGCGAACAACTCCCCTGCCTCCTGGACACACAAAACAGAGGACCCAGCTTCCTTTGTAGGTGGTTGGGTTGCTGCCTGCTCCTGAAGACTCCTGGAGCAGGGAGAACTTGGTTTTTGGCTACATCCTAAGTCAGCCCTGTTAGCGTGGGTTCCTTCCCAGGATTAAGTCCCAGCGCCATAAGGCAGACATTTTATGTAATAAATGAATTTCTTTTCTGTGCATCTGGAGTGCTACCATCTAGTCCCACCTCCCAGTCCATTCCTTTGGGAAAAATCAGAATGTTGCCTTTATAGGAAGATATTTTGATCCCAGCTCCTCCAAACAAATATCCAGATTCTTTCTTTCAGAAGCGGTCCTCCTGCCTTTTTTATGTGTTTTATGACTCGCTCTTTAATGAGACTCAACCTGGGAGTTTGCTGCTCCTCAGGGAAGTCTTCTCTGAACCCTCAGGCTGGCCTGTGCTTACCCGTCACAGCTGGAATTACTGCTTCTTGTCCCCACTCTGAGATAGTCTTCCAGGGTGGCTGCTATATCCCTCGCGTCTCTGCATCCCCATCACGAGCCCCTGTGCCTTACACGGAGTAGTTGCTCAGAGAATGTCATGTTAGTAATTAAGTCTGATGTTCACTCAGCTACTAATCACAGTCATTTCAGTCATCAGTGAGCTGCACGCTGGGGATTTAGCAGTGGACAAAACAGACACAGCTCTGCCTCTCTGGGGCTTACAGTCTAGTGGGGAACTAGGCAGTAAACAAGCATGACATGCAACATTTGGGTAGGAATTCAGATCTGACTTGTTTGAAGCAGCCCTGACTCATTTCTGGGTGCCCTCTGGGCTTCCAGGGGTGGGGGTGAGGGGCTGAAGGGTGTTCATGGCTGTGCCCTCTCTTGTAGGGAGCACCCCACTTGGCTGCTACAAGAAGCTGATTGAGTACTATAAGAATGGAGACCTGTCCTTCAAATATGTGAAGACCTTCAACATGGACGAGTATGTGGGTGAGTCTTGCCCTTTCAGTCCTTATCTGATTCCAGGAGAGTCCGAACTCCCCCTCGCAGGCTGGAGAGGAATTCGGAGTGTCAGGAAACCAGTGACATTTGGTGCTAGGCTCAGCTACTGATACCTATCTCTTCCAGGCCTTGGTTTACTCAGCTATAAAATGGGGCCAATAAAACTGACCTCATAGGTTGTAAGCATTAAATGATATCACAGATGTGGAAGCCTCTTATTTAGAGCAAGCACTTAGTAAATATTCTAGTATTTTCTCCTGTGCCTCCTCCCCAACTCCATGCCCTTTCTTTTTAGAACAAATGACTGGAAATGGGATCATGGCCGGGGGTGTCCCTGTATCTGTCTGGACTTTCTCTCCAGTGTTCCTCCTCTAGCGCCCCTTGCTGCCAGGTACACTGGGAGGGGAGATGAGACTGGTGTCTTTTCCGCTACTGAAAAGCTACAGCACCTTGGTCTCTGTCACCTCCTTCCATGCCCGACCATCCCCCCCTATAATTTTGTAATGGTTTCACTTTAAACATTGTTTTTAAATTGTAGCAAAATACACATAACATAAAAGGTACCATCATAGCCATTTTTATGTGTTCAGTAGTGTTAAGCACAGTCATATTGTTGTGCGACCAATCTCAGCTCTTTTCATTTTGCAAAACTGAAACTCTATACCCCTTAAACACCAACTCCCTATTTCCCACTCCTGCAGCCCCCGGCAATCACCATTTTACTCTACGAATTTGACTACTGTAGGTACCTCATATAATGAATCATACAGTATTTGTCTTTTTGTGACTGGCTTATTTCATTTAACATCATGCTGTTGAGGTTCACCATGTTGTAGCATGTGTCAGAATTTCCTTCCTTTTTAAGGCTCACTGTAAACATTCTTGATGTTTAGCATTAAGCATTAAATATTCACTTGAAACATGCTTTTTCTTCTTGACTGAAAAGAACCTTCTGGGAAGCCCTGAGATAATTCTCCCTAACCACCTGGTATTCAAGTGGGGGGTTCAGGCTGAGCAGGGTATAACGAGGGGAGTGGTGGGGTTAGGCACAGGGTGAGGGGTGTGCATGCTTCCTTTCCCGGATAGGTATAGCTTCACCCCCAGGTAGCTAAGCCACCTCCAGAAGCCCAGATTAACTCTGGCCTCCAGCCTAAGGTTATTCTCCCATGAAAAGGAGATCAAAATGAGGAGATTCCTCAGGCCTCTGGGGTGTAGCTACTCTGGCCCAATCCTGTAGTCATAGGTGGAGGTGGTGGGTAGACAGAGACATCAGCTCAGCTTATCCCGAGGGGGGGAGGGTCGGAGGGCTGGTGGCCAGGGTTCCCTGAGAGCATCTCTGGGGGCCTGGGGATAGCCTGGCCTCCTCCCCGAGAGGAAGGCTCTGGCTCCGCCTGGGCATGACTGAGTGTGGCCGCGGCCCCACAGGTCTTCCTCGAGAGCACCCAGAGAGTTACCACTCCTTTATGTGGAACAACTTCTTCAAGCACATTGACATCCACCCGGAAAACACCCACATTCTGGATGGGAATGCAGCCGACCTGCAGGCTGAGTGCGACGCCTTTGAAGAGAAGATCCAGGCTGCAGGCGGGATTGAGCTGTTTGTTGGAGGTGAGCTTGACAGGTGGCTAGGCCAGACCCAGCAGTTAGACACATGCGGTCTCAAACAGCTTCTTCTCTGCTAGTGACTGTAGGAGCCACTCATGACTCTGAGGAGGCAGGGAAGGCAGAGTGGGACCCCTAGCCCCCTGCCCTGGTTCTACTGCTCAGCAGCTGTGTGACACTGGATGTCTCCTCTTTCTGCACGTCAGTGCCTTGTCAGTAGAATGAGGGTTTGAATTTGGACTCTTGAGATTTTGTTGCCCAAAGTTTTATAGCTCAGTCATGGGACTTACCTAAAATCACATGTAGTCCCAGGCTACACTCAGCCCCTGCACGCTGTAGACAGCCAAGTGAACTCCAGGGAAGTTTTGTGATTTGCCCAAGGTTAGCTGGCCAGAGTGGTGGAGACAAGGCAGGCACCAAGGGTGTCCTCGTCTCAGATTCGTGCCTTTGTTCTTACCCTGGGCTGCCCTCTTACATTTCCACGTGTTGCCAGCTCCAGAGTCACCCACAGGGGTGTGAAGTTGGACTGCCTTTTACTGCTCTGGATTTAACTCTATTCAAGATGGGGAGGAAGAGGCCAGGAGCGCTCATATTCTGAGATTATATAAAGTTGGCAGCCCCTGTCCAGGCCCTGTGTGTTTTATTCACTGTGACTCCCCTGGTAGCAGGACCCCTGACTATTAGCAGGAGAGAGAGAGAAAGAGAGGTTACACTTCAATGACCTGGGAGGAAGAAGCTATTTGGAGTCCCCGTTTCCTAGCTTTCTGAGGATGGAAGCAGTTAACAATGGCAGTGTGCGCCCTAGAAAGAAAAGGGTGGGAGACGGAGAGGGAAGGATCACGTGCTTAGGTACCTGCCCAGGAGGAAAGGGACATGGTTTTCGAGTTTTGTGGACCCCGGATGGGGGAGGAGAGAGCGTCCCCCCCTGCAATCTGAGGCCCTGGCACTGATAGGCTGCCCTCTCCCCTGGGCAGGCATTGGCCCCGACGGACACATTGCCTTCAATGAACCGGGCTCCAGTCTGGTATCCAGGACCCGTGTGAAGACGCTGGCCATGGACACCATCCTGGCCAATGCTAGGTTCTTCGATGGAGACCTTGCCAAGGTGCCCACCATGGCCCTGACGGTGGGTGTGGGCACTGTCATGGATGCCAGAGAGGTAAGGGTGCAAGGGGTCCACAGGCCTTCACTGGGGACTGGACTGGTCTGGTTTCAAAAATTTAACTCTACAGGTACCACCTAGATACATTTGTATTAAAAATGAAGACATTATGAGGATAAAATCCCAACTGACCCTTATCAGTGTTCCTCCTTCCTCTTTGGAGGGAACCATTGTTCCCCGTGTGAGGACTGCCCAGGAGACGGCAGGCTCCCTGGCCTGTGTATGTACCCCTTTCGAGCTGCTCACAGAGAGGAGCCCAGCAGTACTGCTGTCTGAGTATGAATTTGCACCTGCCCAGGTCCCAAGGTGGACCCTCTGGTTCCCTGCAGTTGGGGGACACTGTTTGAAGGAAGCTCCTATAGGTCCAGGATGTTGGTGGTTATAGCCCTGAGTTTGGGGATTCATAAATGTGGGAAACATAAGTGTCCTAAACTGAATTTAGTAAGTTTTTTTCCTAGAAAGTTGGGTAACATTTTTTTGTGTGTGTGGCTCTAATTTCCTACTGTCTTTCGTTAGAATTTTAGAAGCATTTTTTCTTCCTGGATTATATTTAGTGGGAAGCAGACACAGACATTTTAACTTTAAGCTTCTTTGCCTAGGCCTGTAAACAAATATCTAAGTCCAAAATGAACTCTTGTGAAAGGTGCAATGGCGCCAAAAGTCTTGTGGGTAGCTTCAAGTCAGTACCTAGGGGCACTCTGCTGTACTTGGCCTTGTGGCTTGCAAACCTCCCTGTCGTGTTAGTGAATGCTAATCTGAGAAAGAGCCTGGGCTGGATATCAGGAAATTCTCTCTTCTAAAATTAGATCTGGAATCCTGAACAAAGAGCTATATTTCCTCTATGCCTCTGTTTTCTCACCTTTTAAGGAATAGTAGCCCTGGCTGGTGTGGCTCAGTTGGTTGAGCATTATCCTCTGTACCAAAGGGTTGCTGGTTCTATTCCTGGTCAGGGTACATGCCCAGGTCTCAGGTTCAGTCCCCGGGAAGCAGCTGATCAATGTTTCTCTCTCACATCCATATTTCTCTCTCTTCCTTCCTCTCTAAAATCAATAAAAACGTATTTAAAAAGAAAAAAGAAAGGAACAGTAAATCCTGTTCATAATTCCATGGTGCAAAAGAATTACAAAGGAAATCCACAGAGCTGAGTTCTTTATGATCACTGTCCACTACTTCCTTTCTTGGTATTTCAGCTGTTGAAGGGAGTCTGTGCCTTTGTTTCATTTAAACCAGCGGTTCTCAACCCGTGGGTCGCGACCCCTTTGGGGGTCGAACGACCCTTTCACAGGGGTCGCCTAAGACCATCGGAAAACACATATATAATTACATACTGTTTTTGTGATTAATCATTATGCTTTAATTATGTTCAATTTGTAACAATGAAAATACATCCTGCATATCAGATATTTACATTACAATTCATAACAGTAGCAAAATTACAGTTATGAAGTAGCAACGAAAATAATTTTATGGTTGGGGGTCACCACAACATGAGGAACTGTATTAAAGGGTCACGGCATTAGGAAGGTTGAGAACCACTGATTTAAACAAAATGCATTACCCCAAGTCACATTAGTAGGTCTAATATTCGGAACTAATAGTGACCAGATTAAATGGCAGCTGTGACCTCACCATACAGATGACTCTCAGCATTGTTTCCAAGGCCCCCTGAGAGATCGGGACTCATCTTTTTGTGACTGTGAAAACTCACAAAACCTAGGACCTCCTAGAACCCAGTATCAAAACTGTTGGGATAAGCGTGGGCCTTTGTAGGGCACATCTGTTCACAGGGCACTTGCAGCCACCATCAAAGGTGCCAGGAGACACTATGGAGTGGTGGTTAAGAACATGCACTTAGGGTCAGAAATGACCTGGGGCAAGTCACTTAGCCCTGGCCCCAACCCCAGCCCATTTCCTGACAGGACAAGGAGTAATGATGCTCCCTACTCAGGCAACTTGTGTGATAGCCTAGGGGGAGCCCAGAGCGGTGTGCTGCATTCTGAAGACTTGCAATGGAATATAGAACAGTAGTCCTTACAGCGGTTTGGGGCGGCCACACGAGAGTTCAGGCGCCTGGACTTCAGGTTTTGCTGCTCCTCCTCTGTCATGGGCTTGTTCTCTGATCCCCAGGTGA